CATTTGGCAATCCGAATAAGAAATTCTCATGCAAGATGAACATTTATACATATAATTATAGCAGCCATATTGGATTTATGCAAATTAGGGCAGCCATATTGCATTTTCGCATGATAAGGAGTGATCCATTTTTATTCTAATATAGGTAAATGCATTCTCCATGCCAACAATCATCATAATAGTACTTCCATTTACTCAAATATATTCTTGGATAGCAGAAATATTGCAAAATAATGGAAATTGGCGGCCATTTTGGATTTATGCTAATTATGGCGGCCATATTGCATTTTTGCATGTCAGGGAGTGACCCATTCGCATTCTAATATAGCTAAATGCATTGCCCATGCCAATAATGATTAAAATATACCTTTAAATTACTGAAATTTGTCTTTGGATAGCAGAGATATAGCAAAATGATGGAAATTGGCGGCCATTTTGGATTTATGCAAATTATGCAAATTTGCGTGGGAGGATTTCTTAGGACTTTTAGGATGGTGTTCTGGGGTCATCACAGAAATGCCCTGTAAAAAAAAATTCTGTTGCTTTTTTTTAAGGTTGGCTGCAAAAATGACCTAGATTGCTTGGACTATTAAGAAACTTTGTCTTATTGAGTTATTCACTTCATATTTGCCGAGTAGATTGCAAAGTCATGTGATGCGCTAAAAACGTTAATGCCTGTTGTTAGGGGCACTATGAGAGCATTAATATATAAATAATGAAACAATTCGGCTTCTTTTATGCAACATCACGTTTGCGTGCTCCAGACCACGGCCGCGGGGCGGGTGGAAGTTTGGGGGAGCGGGCGATCGAAAATCTGAACGCCGTAAGTGTTTCATGTTTAAGCTTCCGATAGACTCCTGATACTATATAGAGACTTGCTAAACAGAGTGCTCGCACATGTAGACAATGGCCTTGCGGTGCGTGGTACGAGACAGGTCGTATGGATCGAGGCGGCTCGGTGAATTATATATTCATGTTATTTAAATGACGTGCATGATTCAAAGAAATAACCAACACGATCTCTGTTTTTCCCCTTTCAAGTACATAATATCTCTTTAAGATGATATACAGACGTGTATCAGGCTTTCTCTGTCATCCCTTCTCTGTACTTTCCCACTCTTTCTCTCCCTCAATCTTTCTCTCTAAGGGGCAAGAAGAACTCGAAGAAAAAAAGAAAGGGGTGAAAAAGAGGAAGAGGAAAAGAAAAGAAAAGATGAAGAAGACGACGACGAGCGGGAGAATGAGGAGGAAGGGGAGGAGGAGTGGGAGGAGGAGAGGTAGAGGGGGAGGAGATGGAGGAGGGGTGTAGTAGTATCAGCAGTAGCAGTAACAATAGCAGTAGCAGTATCCCTAGCCGCAGCCCTAGCAGCAACAGCGTAGCGCGTGGGCGACAAGCCAACTGTGATTTACCTATTCCAGCAGCAGCAGCAGCAGCAGCAGCAGCAGCAGCAGCAGCAATAGCAGCAACACGACCAGTAGTAGCTGGTAGTGGTAGTGGTAGTAGTATTAGGAATATGAGGAGTGGGTGGGGGGCTAGAAGCAATCAGTGGAGGAGATGGAAAGTGAGGCGGGTAAAATACCTGGAACCAAGAGGTGAAGGAGGTTGGACGAGGAGGAGAAGGCGGAGGAGTAGTGAGAAGGAGGAAGGGGACGACGACAAGTGAAGAACTGTAAGGAGCGGGTGGAGGGATAGAATGGGTCAATGGAGGAGGAGAAAGACGAAGTTAGCAAAGAGAAGAGGCAGGAGGAGAATGGATCGCAGAGCTACACGGAGACGAGACGGCAAGCAGGCGAGTAGCTAGAGAGCTCACGGATGAAAAGAAGATGGAAGAGAAATAATAAAAGAATAATAAATAAGTGTGTGGTAAAGGAAGAAATGTAGCGATGAGTGTAATAGGAGAGTAAGAATGTAATAAGAGGGAAAGTCGAGAAAATAGGCCATTGGTGTAGGATGAAACGAAGCGGCTGAGAGCAGGTGAGAGCATAACGCTTCACCCTTAGCTGCTACTTTCATACTGGTCAACGATTCATCTGGCGTTTTTAGCCGTCTTGCCTGCATTACAATCATACATGGACTGCTGTATTACTTCCACACTATTAACTCTTACTACTTTATGCTAACACTTTAGCAATAGCATACCAAAACTCACAGTGGCATGACAAGAAGGCAGTACCCAATTTCATGCGGTTATTCATATAAGACGCCATAAGTCGACCTCCTGATTAGACCAGTCCCTGTGCTCCTGTACAACCCATGTATTGCTCGTCCTGCTGTGTTGTCCATCCTCTTATATATCACCTCTCTCTCTCTCGCTTTCTCTCTCTCTCTCTCTCTCTCTCTCTCTCTCTCTCTCTCTCTCTCTCTCTCTCTCTCTCTCTCTCTCTCTCTCTATCTGCCACGCACTCTCTCCTTCTGTCTGTCACGCTCCCCCTCTTTTTATTTCTGTCTCTCAAACCACTCTAACTCACCCCATCTATATTAAATATGCATTAAGATATATCGTATACAAACAACTTGGTGCGTGCGCGCGCGTGCGTGCGCGTCGGCGAGCGCTTGTGCGGCGGAATTTCATCTGGATTAGCGAGCGAAGTTGATTTCAATTCATCCACTCCCACAAACCCGTAGAACGAGTTCTGAGGAATGCGCACGCAGGGCGAAGCGCGGCCTGTTACGCTATCGCACGCTCTCCGTTGAGCGAGTGCGCGGTCCAAGAGGCGCGCAGTGCGGGAGCGAGCGGATGGTGTAGGAGATGCGAGAAAACAACGAGTGCAAATATCGAGAGAAGAGAAATGGGGAGAGAAAGATGGGAAGAGAAAAAAAAAGGGAGTAACCCCCCTTTACGTTCAATATCTCAATATCCTTTAGTGGTGCCACCCGGTGACGCTTTTTTTGACTTCGCCCCTTTGGCATTTGACATTGACCTTCACGTTAGCCTTGAGCTTTTCCCTTTCCTTTTTGACCACTGTCTTTTAATTTAATCAGGCTAGTTACATTGTAATAAAGTGATTTAGCAAATATCGGCTGCATAGCATATCAATCGATTATTCAGTTATCACACATGAAGATTATGTAAAATATTTAGTATATACGTATATATATAATTATCATGTTTAAAGTATTTAATTATCTTATTTAAAGATAATTCCGGTCCTGGATACATGTTCTCATATAAAGATGTTTATGATTATAATGAGAAAATTTTATATTAGAAGAACACGTTAACTGATATGCAGATATTCTACCAGGAAGTAATTGTATAAATGAGACCAGGTATAATGAAGTAATCAGTAACCACGTTCACATATTCCTTTTTGCCTCCTCTTCTAATTTCTCTATCTCCGCCTCCTCCTCTTCCTTCCCCTCCTCCTCATCTTCATTTCCTCCTCCTCCTACTCCTCCTCCTCCTCCTCCTCCTCCTCCTTCTCCTCCTCTTCTTCTTCTTCTTCTTCTTCTCCTCCTTCTTCTTCTTCATCATCATCATCATCATCATCTTCTTCTTCTTCTTCTTCTTCTCTATCAGATCAGAAGGTGGCATTGTAATCTTTCAAAATAAATTTGCTGGTTAATGCGAATTCTTAGCCCAGTATAGACGTAGATCTGAAATGAAGTGTTTTACATGTGAAACCCTACCACGATGGCACAAACCAACCAGAAGATCACTCACTACCGCATATATATATTGTACGCGGAATTTCTAACATAAAAAACATTCCTAATCAGTTTTGAAATATCTACTTATACAAAAAATATATAAACAAAAATATATAATTAGTATAATTAACATAGTTCACGCTACGATATATCTTATAATACGCACAACACATATATGTGGATATACGATAGGCCTATACATGGAAATATATGGTTCACGTGCCAGAAAGCGAGCAAACAGGTATCAAAGTATTCAGGTTCAAAATGGGCCTATGTACGCGCTATCGTCTCGCATTTTACCGCCGGATGTGGACGAAATATCGGTGTCATATCGAGTCCGCCTATTTATAACGCAATGTCAAGCCACCGGACGCGAGTTCGCTCGCCTCTGACTAGCTATCATATGCTTGCTACGGGCTCTGCAAGATGAGGTAAGTCTCGCTCGTCCATGTTTTGGCATAGCAGTGCCAACCACTCACACGCACGCGAGCGTCCTTTACTATATTACTATATTACTTGCATTTATTGAAGTTGAAAATATCACATTCACTTTGTTTACAAATAGCTGCAATCGTATATGTATTGTTGTTGTTGTTGCCGTTGCTGTTGTTGTTGTGATTTTTATTGTTGTTGTGTTAATGTTATTCTATACTACCGACATAATGAGTTACAGTCGTGTATCTTTACTACGCATGAATTTCTATAATAACACAAAATAAACCAATAAAAAATATATTTATACCATAACAAACGTATGGGGACTATCTCATAGAAACAAGTAAACATTATTATTATTATTGTTATTATTAGTAGTAGTAGTAGTATTTGTTGTTTGTGTGTGTGTGTGTGTGTGTGTGTGTGTGTGTGTGTGTGTGTGTGTGTGTGTGTGTGTGTACGATTCATCTGGCGTTTTTAGCCGTCTTGCCTGCATTACAATCATACATGGACTGCTGTATTACTTCCACACTATTAACTCTTACTACTTAATGCTAACACTTTAGCAATACTATAGCATACCAAAACTCATAGTGGCATGACAAAAAGGCAGTACCCAATTTCACGCGGTCATTCATATAAGACGCCATAAGTCGTCTATGGCAGAATATGGCGGCAAACAGTTGATTACGTGGACCGCCCAGCATCGAAAGAGACATTTTATAGAAGTTGCAGAAGAAAATGTACGCAGGGGACCGCGGAGGAACAAACAGAGAGTACAGAAAGTACAGGAGGAGCGTGTACATGAAGTGAAATGGATTATGATGGTGGATGGAGAAGGAGAGGAGTGAAAGATTTAATAAAGAGTAAAGCGTCACACAATTAAACATCGTTGAGAGTAAAACGTGCAAAATCCTTATAAATCTGCCTGAACAATTTTCATTTAATACTGAATATACAATCATCAGTTTATAATATTGGTAAATAAATAAATAAATAAATAATCAGTAAGCGAAATGTTGAATGAGAAATATATTTGGCTAGCAAAAACCGATCGAAACCCACGTACTACAAATACGAGAATCTTTACTTGAAGGAGACTATTCGCACAATTCTAAAGAATATTTATCCATTCTCATTGAAAAGTATTGTACCTTAACTATCAATAAAGCTGCAGGAGTAAAACCAACAGCCTCGGGTCGGCTAAGTGCTCCTGATACAGAAAAAACTATAACAACGACTACAACAACGTATTAGAGAATGTCTAAAGAGTTCACTGATACTATAGTGCACTTCTCTTTCATGTGGAATGTTTACCCAGCATCACAGACATCAGGGGGCCATACACGATACAGTCAAGTACCGCATAACAACTAAAATCCTAACAAAACATACACACATACACTTCCGCACTTCCGCAGGAAAATCTGTCAAGCAAAGAAGATGTACAAAAATAACAGAAAACCTCACACAATAGATGAGTGAGTATAAGTGGATACCGTATTTGCTGTTCAGACTGAGAACATGACTAGGGCACGAGAAATCAGCAGTTGGACATTGAATATACAACAATCAACATCATCATGTATTCCGTGAAACCAGGTGCTCCTACAGAGCCCTACATATACCTTGCCATAACGAATGAATAAGTACTTTACATACAATGTCATTAACCCATGTGGCGTAATAATGGTAGATCCAATAAAGACAATGTCAAACGAGATACATACAAAACAGTGGCCTATAAAATGTTTGTATGAACTACCAACAGATTCACCTCCCACCCCTGATAGTAAAGTATTCATTATAAAGTATTATTATCAAACTACTAACGATTTCTTGTATGTTTAAGCAATGGCACTGCGACGACACTACTCTCCACGAGATCACATTATACTACCAAACCAATTTACATAAAAGCTTGTTCCAACTGTGCAAGGCACGGTAGCAATTTACCGTAACTGTTCCAGACCAGAGAAAACCGATATTTAAAGCATTCTGTTAAAAACACCTGTAAATACCAGTTAAGAAAGCATAGAATAAATATTAAATTTTAGCCACGGTAAATATCGAAACTTGGCCAAGTATATCTATACGAAAGGGCCATGCACCAAGGCAGCTTATAAATTACTACAAAAACAATAAAAGAAGTGACAAGAACTACACTTGGTTGAGATCAACTGAAAGCATGAACAACTGAACACACCCTGTTCAATACGTTTGGCCGACTAAATTTTACATTTCGACTGCATACCTAGGCACCTAAACTATCAAACGTGAGACAAAATTGCCCATTTTTTCTTAAAAAAATCAAACTTGGCTATTAGGCTACTCCATAGTTTAGACAGATTTGAGCCAATGACTTTAGTTCCCCTGTTTAAAACGATAACACGAAATACTGCAATGAATATCGGCACACAACAACAGAGCCTGAGAACAAAACTTTGTTCGTCTGATACCGCTACGCATTTTACTAACACTACAGCTCATGTTTAGCCAACCTCAATTGTCACAGAACGTAATTCTTACCCCAGTATTCACTCAAGATGTTACATTTACAAATATGCAGAACCACTGTCGATAATCACCAACATGTACATATAAACTTCATACTGAATTGCACTATTTATATTTGCTCGATCAGTCATCTAGGCCAGTCAGACGATCAACTTCTCCCAGCCTGTCAGGTGATCAGTGACTTCATGTACCCTCGTCACGACTCCTCACGGCGACTGATATGCAGCCTTAGATGGACTCGCGTCGACAAAGTCGGAGTTTGCGACGGCTGGAGCGGTCGGAACGGGCTGGTCAATATTCTCGTAGGTTTCCCCGTGACCTGAAAGTTGCACTTCGATAAGAATCTCTAAGTGTGACAAGTATGTCTGCGCCTGGATATAGTTGTATATGACATACATCTCTAGGTCAAAGACAAAAGTCCCCTACAGTCTGATATCTAAGATACTAGAGGCAATTATAACCATTACAGAGATAGAAGTCTTTCAATCAGACATCTCCAGCTCAAGGGCAATTATCTTCATCAGTCAAGGGTTATACACTGTAGACCAGCCTATGGAAGCTAAATCACGTCACAGGAATGAAAGGGGCATGTTAGCCCAGAAATTGCTACTCACTACATGTAAATCTACCTACAAGCCCACCTCACCCATAGGCAATACCCTCGTGAACAGCTGGATAAAAAAATTGGCCAATGCTTACAATGTTAATTATTGGTGATAATAACAATGCATCCTTGCAAAACATGCAAACAGGCAACTTTTTCACTAGGTCAATCAGCTATAGGTAATTAAATACAACATGCTTCTTCTTATTAACACTATCACTATCAGGCCTTGCTGGTATTAGATGCTTGCGAGTTATTTTTCAGTAAAAGGTTGCAATAATGATATGAAATCATGACAATACACTGCACACTGCACCAGGGCCAACAAACACCATTTTAAACAATGTCAGCAAAACGAAGAGCAAATGTCATCAAAACGCAGTAGCGAGGCAGAAAACTACTTTGCTGTAGTCTGTGAAGATGACCTGGTATGGAAATTTATGCACATACAACCATAAAGCTAGGTTTACACTACCAACTTTATGTTGTCAAATTGGCGAGTTGGACCATTTTCGGCAACACCGAGTTGGCGAAAATAGAACATGTTCTAATCTCCAAACTAGTTGCTATTGACCAGTTGCTCGCGCGACTTTTGCGTTTACACTGCTGATTACCGGTTGTATAATTGCAAAATTGGTCCAATTCACCAATTTGACAACATAAAGTCGGTAGTGTAAACCCAGCTTAAGTCTGTCCCGTTTGTTTTTGGAGAGGAATTTCGCCGTGACCGCTGATCTAACTCACCACTGAATCCTCCGCCATACTGCGTGAAACTGCTGTACTCGGCTGACCTAGCCTGCATGACCCTGTACATGACGATACTCGTTACCGGTCGCAGCAGCAGGTTGACGCAACACATTCTGAATGCCGAGTCAAGGTGTGCACAGCACTCATGGATGCGTAACGAGCACGCACACTCCACACAGACGCACAATCAGATGCAAGCACACACGGCGAGCATACACGGACACGCACAAACACACACGTTATAAATGTCGTAAGCCTACTACAGTATTAAAGCCTCTAGTAGTCTGCAAGACAAAATTAAGTCAAAATTATAAAACACGCCACACGCGACCATGTATATGTCGAATGATTTAGCGTATTAGGGATACATTACAATAGACTCGCTGCCTCACATACATGTAATCAAGTAATCAAGAGTGAATGAAACGTATTTGTTTTTGCTCACACCTAATAACATCAGGATTGTATAATAGATTATAATCAATGTATATAATATAATCTATATTATACACTCCTGATAACATCATATGGATATGACCATGAATGAGTGAATTATTGATAGATGTACGTCCAGTCCATTGCAGTTTAATATCAATATAATTATGTACATTATTATACAAGTATTACTTCAAGAACTTGGATTTCAAAGGATACACAGCACTGAACCTAAACAGACCAGCCACACTGCCTGAAAAAGAAAAGATTATTTCTGTAAATTCTAACAACATATTTTCACTACACTTAGGACTGTAGGAGAAATAAAATAAATATTAATGAATGTCTGCATACACAATTATAATTAAACTTACATTGCTGACAAGTTAATATTGCACACGATAAAACATCTAACAAGAAGATACTTCAGAAGCACCTAATAATATGTTGACTAATAATTAACAACTTACTCTGTAGAAAAGCAACTTTTTGGTATGGATATGAAGTAGCCAGCACCACAATGTCCATAACTATGCTGATTACATTCAGCATAAGTGACTGAAACAGCCGTGCGATAATCGGAGTTAATTTACTGTATATGCAAAATTCTTAGCCAGTAAGTAAGCAAGTGGTTTCATTGTAGAGGTTCATCCATAAAGAATTTATTAATTTAATAAGGCAAACGATATTTATAGGAATTATAGCCTTGACAGACAAGACTGTAGGGTAATTTTGCCATACTTCTCCATTATTAAATGTAAGTTGCGTAATGTTTATCTGGATACATGCACCCAATGTGGTAAAACAAAAATCGTTAAGGGGCTTGAACTTTAGAATTCTCCCTACCCTTCCCACCTCCCTGCAAACTCTCGAGGAAAACAATGTCAGCACACTTTAATATAACTTGTCATGACATACTAGTATCACATATCCTCTGGAAGTGAACTGATGAGGTGGAAGGAGTAGATGAGGTGATCTTCTTCTTCTCGGGTCACTAGACTACACTCGGCCTAGCCACTGCAGCACACAGGACTTGGCATGGTGGTTGAAAGCCTCAAGTTCTCCAGGGCTACAGAGCTCTGGTAATAGGAGGCATTTCAGGATATGTCCCATAGGGCCACCCTTAAAAAATTGTTTGTTTCCCCTTTACCTACTCGCCTTTCAGGGTACCGAGTAGGTAGGTTGGTGCAAAATCTTTTTTATTTTTTTTGACAAGATGTGTGTATGTATATTGTATATTCTGTTTTGTGTATATATATGTTTTTGCGGAACCAATTTTTTTTTTTTTGCGAAACGAAATAATCTTTTGTTTTTTTTAATCGGCCAATAAGATGTGTCGAGTAGCGGCGTTTTGGCGAGTCGGTCGGTAAAGGGGAAACAAGCAATATTTTATCTTAGGCCTAGTCTGGTCCTCCCCGCAGTCGCATTCGGTTGGGCCATCTACAGTGTATCCCCATTTCTGCATGAGTGCCCTGCAATGACCAAACCCTGTCCTGGGGCGATTTAGGCATAACCACGTCAGCCATACCTCGTTGGCTCCGGGTGGGAGGGATTCCTGGGGTCTGAGTGAAAGTTTATGTTGGCTTGCCTGAAGATGCTTTGACCATTGGGCGATCCTGTAGTTTTGGAGGTTGCCATCCAGGGGTTGAACCGCGTGGATGAAACTGTACCTGGACTTTAAATTAATCTCTTCTTTACTGTTTCATGATGGAAGAGGGGGTGGCGAGGGTCATTTTCTTGGTTAAGTTTCTCTACTTGAGATGAAGCCATTCGTCTAACGTGTAGTGGAGCAATGCCACAGAGCAGGTAGAGGTCATCTACGTTGGTTGGTCTCAAGCACCAGAAATGGTTCTGCAGATGAGGTGATGAGATGGATGAGGCAATGAGGTGATGAGGTCAGGTGGATGAGACTGAGCGAAGACACGTGATTAGTAACATACCAGCAAAACAGGATCAGATGCTTCCGTGTTTATCAAGGACCACAGTATACATGCAAGTAGAAACCCGTTGTAGTAGATGTATGCCATCGGAACCCACGATGTGAGCATTGCCCTGTAACAACACATTTGACAATAATTTGTTAATATCATCAAAATTTCAATTCTTTAGAGTAAACAATTAAACATTTTCTTAATTAAAAAATCATAGGATAAGAATATATATATATATAATATATATATAATATATATATATATATATTATACAGGGCATGAAATAAGCCAAAATCTGAACAGGCCCACACAAAATTTTAAACAGGCCCTTAGACATATTGAACAGGCCCCTTCATTTTGTTCAATTTATTCCATTTTTCTATTAATAAAAATATTAGCTTGTGTTTATTAGGCATACTTGTAGTATTTCAGTATTTCACTGCTATCAGTGGTGTAAATCTTGTTGATATAAAAGCAAGATAGGCAAAATTTTGAATAGGCCAAGTGGACTGATTATATTGGGGGGTTGAACCGGCGGCCGCCGGCAAAATAGCGCTAATATCGTACACTGTATATATTATATATTTGTTGTTGCTGTACTCACCATGTTGTCAGTATAAAATGGGTGACAAATACAACCTGGAAAAAGGATTGAAGGTATTATATACACGAGCCATGCAGAGATTACTGACAGCTTACTGCATATATATATATATATATATAACTATAGAGATGCTTACTGGACTGTCACTGAACACATGGCTGGACAGAATATTACTATATTATTAAACACTAATTCATTACATTCATCTACCCAATAACATACCAGTATCACTGTAAACTGGCACAACAACACAAGACATACTATTACAATATTCTTAGGAGTGCATCGATCCTCCAACACACCTCAACAATTCATTAGTCACATATATAGCAGAAGCCTGAAGTTCCAATCCAATTTACTTATATAGTACTTTTAGATTAGCATTTCATTGACCTTTGTTGTCCAAGTAACGTGAAGTGAGCTGCTGCTGCCTAATGGAAGTATACGCGACCGTTTGATGCAGACAAATTTATTACATTTAGAGTTAATCCTTTTTGTCTAACGTTTTCTCAACTCTAATCATTCTATGGGAGCTGCATTTTTCTATAATTTGCTTTTGAGGTGATACATGTATAGCCTGACATGGCTGTAAGACTTACTGTTAGAGGTTCATAGGTTACAAGCCACACACATTAAATATATATGTGTGTGTATGTATGTGTTAATGTGTGTATAATGAATAGTGTACGTATGCGTGTCGAAATGATGTTAAAGTGTACCTTAATCACTGACCTTGTACAGAATGTACTGACGTTTTTTGTATATATTTTGTATAATCTTGCACATTCCCTAAAATCACATCCGATGACATGATGGGGGAAACCTATTCAATTTGTGCATGGGTATAAAGCTAATGGGTAAAATGCCAAGTTAATCCATTTTACCCAACTATTTTACTCTGATATTAAAGCCCTGTCACTTCTGCAAGAAAATAACTAGGTTGGAGGTCCGCAAGTGGTATAATTTATTTGGTAGGTTGTGTAGGATCTAACACTAAACCTAGCTTGCTAGGTTCCCTTCATTCACTATAGTGTATTCGTCATATACAATCACAACCTGTTGTGATTTAAGCATTTAAATCAATTTGAAAACGGCAGTTGAAAACCAAAATGGCAATTATTATTATTATTAAATCTTTATTGCATGTAATTCAAATACAAATACATGTACTGGAGACAGTCTGTTTCATGAAGAAAAAATCTGATAAATGCAATCGTGTTGAGCAGTTAAAATAATAACATTTTTGAGTGATACAGTACAGAACAGCACTATACAACATGAGGGGACAAACGTTCTAAACTTGGTATATTTGCGCAATATTGCCAATAACTTTATACCTATGCGCAAAGTAAAGAGAGATATCAGCCATCGTTTCTTGAGGCCAATAGCGTATAACTCAACTCTGTTTACTCTACAGGACCAAGGATATAAGAGCTGTCCACATTTGCACATGTCACACATTGCGAAAAAGAATTGTGATCAGCACTTATATCCATGAACCAGTGGAAGCACTGGAACGTCAATGTGGCATAGTTTAGGTAGGCTGTGCACAGGTTGCCATACACTACCCCAGGCTGAAATATACTTATGGTCGATGCATGTGATAGATATGGTTATGCCATCCACGTCTATGGCCTGGGGTATAACAGTTATACTGTCAATAGTAAAAGCCAGACAGACACTGTCACTCACAGGCACTTGAAGCATTTCAATAAAATATAATGCTAAATAAATACGAAATCTATTTACTACCAAAGTCTTAATGTTTCTATACTCTCTTTCACCTATTATTGC